TCCCAGCATCCCATATGGTCCCCTGAGCACCGCCAGGAGTAAATCCTGAGTGCAGAGCCAGGAGTAACCCCTGAACATCCCTTTGTGTGACCCAAAAACAAAAAACAAAAAAACAAAAAAAATTGTAGATTTAGATCCCTTTATAGATTATTAAATCTCAAAAGATGTCAATGAGCCACAAAAATTTCTTGGATACTTGGTCTTAGGGCTGGAGCCATAGCACAGCGGGTAGTGCAGACCCAGGTTCGATTCCTTCATCCCTCTTGGAGTGCCCGCCAAGCTACTGAGAGTATCCTGCCCACACGGCAGAGCCTGGCAAGCTACCATGGTGTATTCGATATGCCAAAAACGGTAACAAGTCTCACAATGGAGATGTTACTGGTGCCCACTCGAGCAAATCGATGAACAACGGGAGGACAGTGCTACAGTGCTACTTTTTTGTCTTGAGCACAGCATATGGAATCAGGGTCAACCACGTGCAAGTGCCTTACTTGCTGTACTGTCTCATGTTTAACTTTTTTTCTTTTTGGGTCATACCCAGCAATGCACAGGGGTTACTCTTACTCATGCACTCAGGAATTACTCCTGGCGGTGTTCGGGGGACCATATGGGATGCTGGGAATCAAACCCGGGTCAGCCATGTACAAGGAAAACGCCCTGCTTGCTGTGCTATTGCTCCAGCCCCCACTCTCATGTTTAACTTTTAAGGAACCTGTTTTCCATGGTAGATAAATATTCTTACTGTATAGTGTGAAAAGGTCCAATTTGTCCACTATCTTTCCATTACTTGTTCTTTTCCACTTTCTGGGGCAGGAGAAATAGTACAGCAGGTAGGGTGCTTGTCTTGTATATGGCTGACCTGAGTTTTATCCCTTGCACCCCATATGGTCCTCTGGGCTTGCCAGGAGTGATACCTGAGCACAGAGACAGGAGTAACCCATGAGAACTGCTGGGTTTGGCCCCCAAACCAAACAAAACAAAAAAACATTTTCTTGATAGTGAACATCCTGGTAGTTATTAGGAGGTATCTACTGAAGTTAGAAAGAGCTATCTCTCTTGGGCCCAGAGAAATAGTATAGTGGGTAAGACACTTGCCTTGCATGCGGCCAACCTGGGTTCAAACCCCACATCCCATATGACCTCCTGAGCATCATGAATGCAGAGTCAGGAGTAACCCCTTAACATCCCTGACTGTGGCCCAGAACAAAAAGAATGAGCTGATTTTCTCAATAGCATGAGCCAAGGAGTCTGGACTTGGCAGATTGGTCTGTTGTACCACCAAGATTGTATGGTAATTTTCTATCTAAACCTATTCCCTCTTCTAAACATCAAACTTCTCTTGCATTTGGTAGTCTAATCCACGAAGAAAGGGTGCTTGCCTTGAACATCAGAGACCCGAGTTCGATCCCCAGCATTCCATATGGTCCTCTGAGCCCTGCCAGGAGTGATTCCTGAGTGCAGTACCAGGATCATACCTTTATCACTGCCAGGCGTGCCCCCCCAACAATAATAAATTCAGGTAACTGTTAAATAACATATGATGGGTCGTCTTACTTTGGCAAATATATTTCCACACAAACCTAAAAACCAGCCAAATTCCTGGTCTATCACATTGTGTTGTCAATGACTGTGGCTTATTAATGGCTGATTCCATGTACCCAAATGCCCAAGCATGGGAACAGGCTCTAAGTGGGCATAAGAGAATGTCGATGCAGGAGGAAGTGAGAATAATGAGGAGGAGAACTATATACAGACTGTCTCAACCCTCTCCATACCCGATGTAGATTTAGGTTGGGACAGATACTGGCAGCCAGGGTCCACTGAAGCTCAAGAGAGGTAGGAGATAAAGCCTCTTTAGGGGAGTGCCGAGAGAGTACTGTGAGCAGAGTGCTTGCCATCCACCTAGCTGACCTGGGTTAGATCCCCAGAACACCATAAATTCTCCTGTGGAAACCTCTTCTTTTGGTAAATAAATGGACACTTATAAAAGAAACTCAAAAAACTAAGAATTGAGTTTCCAGGGCTGGAGAGATAGTACAGCATGTAGGGTGCTTGTCTTGCATGCTGCTGACTCAGGTTTGATTCCAGGCACCCCACATGGTTCCCTGAGCCTTCCAGGAGTGATTCCTGAGTGCAGGGCTGGGAGTAAACCCTGAACATACTCAGGTGTGGCCCAGAAAACAAAACAAAAAACTAATTGAGTTTCTATATGACCCAGCAATCACACTTCTGGGCATCTACCTTAAATCCCATCAGCTATTCTGTGAAGATGTAAAGACATTTGCTCGCCTATGCTCATTGCAAAACTATTCACAATAGCTAAACCAGTAAACAAAATGAGGGTCCAAGAACAGACTACTGGATAAAGAAACCATGGTACATATACATAATGGAATATTCCTCAGCTATAAGAAATGATAAAATGCTGCAATTGGTCACTATGTAGAGAGTATCATGATGAATGAGGACAGTCAGAAAGCAAGGGACAGAAACAGAATGATTTTTCACATGTGGGATATAAAGAAGAAGCATAGTAAGGGAATAACAAATGGCCAAAGGCAATGGAAACTGAGAATTAATTTACAGAACCAACCAAATTGGGGAGATAGAGGGTGGGGGAAGGGGAACACTGAGGCAATGGTGGAGGGAAGCAGATATTCTGCTAGAGAGTGCATTGTTGGAATGTTGTGTGCACGAAACCCTATAACAGACAGTACTGCCAATCATGGGGCCTAAAATTTTTTAAAAATTGAGAGAAAATGCCTGAGGGCAGTCTCTGAATCTCTCTTGGCTGGTATACCCTCTAGAACGTTATTGGTCTCTCTGGGCCCCCATCATTTAATCTTTAAGCAGGGATACTGCTTTGTGCTAGCTGATGGCTCATTTCTCATTCTACAAGTCTTAGGCAGAAGGTTCACACACAGATGCATCCTGGCATTCCTGAAGACAAGGAGAGTAGCTGTGGCCATCTTCTCATGGGCACAGTGGAGGGGGTAGGACGCCAGAGGAGAAAGAAAGAGTGTAAAGCCTTCCAGGCATAAATTAATGTGTGAGCCAGGACTCAGCCTCCATTTTTGTCAGGAAAACCCAGGAAATGCAAGTGCTGGATATGTCTCAAGAAGGTGTTCTTCACTCCACACTGCACTGTAACTGATTAGACTATAACTGTGAACTTGGCTGTTTTCCTTTTCCAAAGCCAGATGTTTGGAAGCTGTGAGCTGGAACTTCTGTAACAGGTAGTTAATACTGGAGCTACGAGATACATGGAACTGTGCAAAATTCCATCCAGGCAGAGATTGTGTAAAAGGGGAGCATGGGGAATGGAGAGATAGTACAGGAGGTAAGGTGAGCCCCATCTGAAGAGACTGTTGAAGACACGCCAAGAATAACCCGTGAGCATCACCTGTGTGGGCTCAAAAAAAAAAAAAAAAGAAAAAGAACAGAATTTCCCGAACTAGAGAGATAGTACAGTGGGTAGGGCACTATCCTTACACATAATGACCCTGGTTTAATCCTGGAACCCCACACGGTACCTAAAATTTTGTTCTTGCTTTTTTGTTTGTTTATTTTTGGTACAACTCATTGGTACTCAGGGTTTACTCCATACATTGACTCAGAAATTACTCCTGGCAGTGCTCAGGGGACCATACGGGATGCTGGGGATTGAACCCCGGGCTGGCCACATGCAAGGCAAAAGCCCTAACGCTCCTACCCCTCCGCTCAAAAACTACTATCAGGGAAACACAAAAAAATAAGGTACAGGGATGGGAGGAGCCTGTGTGTCCCAGGCTGCCTCACACAATTTTTTTTTACCAGAAACAACTCTAAGCACTGCCAGATGTGCCCCCTACACAAACAGTTCCAAAGCAAAGTTGTTCTGTTGTTAATGATTGTGTTCCAGCCATAAACCATTGCAACATCTGTCCCTTCACCAGTGTACATTTCCCACCATCAATGTCCACAATATCCCACTTGCCCCCTCCGGGAATAGAACCGGGTCAGGCACGAGCACGGCAAGCTTCTTACCTGTTGTATCTCTCCAGTCTCAAAATATGACCTTTTAAACCTCCTACGCCTCTGCCTGACCCCTCAGGTGCCCCTCGCACACGGGGGTGCCCACAGTTGGCTCGCACATACACCCCTACGCCATTGCAGAAGCAGCTCAGTGCCCAAAGCAGCCGCCCCACCCCAAGACACGCACACACCCTTGGGACTTCTGTCCCCAGACACCTCTCCCCCCTTTCAAATCCCGCAGGGGCCTCTTCTGTCCAGGTCACAGGCTGGCACCTGCTCAAACCCTTCCAAAAGTCTTCAGGGACAGAATGATAGTCCAGAGGGACAACAAGCCTGGCTTGTTCGCCAGCAGGGTTCGATGCCCGGCTTCCCTGAGCACCTCCAGGAGCGATTCCTGAGTGCAGAGCCAGGAGTAAGGCCTGAGTGTGGCCAGGTGTGGCCCGGGAACAAAACAAAACAAAAATCGAAAGTCTCCAAAGTTGGGGCCCCTCTCCTCCCCCGCAGCGACCGGCCCTTCCCGGCTGTTGAGCCCAGCCCCTCCCCAATCGTCTGCTCAGGGCACCAAAGGCTCCCCAGGTGACCCAGTCCTCCCGGAGCCACCTGTTCCCCGGGGATCGGTGTCCGGTCACCGTTCCCACGCGCGTGCCCCCCGCCCCCGTGTGCGGGCTGTGTGCGGGGCGTGGGCAGCTGCGGGCAGCGGGGGCTCCAGGCTCGCGGGCTGGGTTCGACTAGCCGGGGAGCGGTCGGGGCCGCGGTGGGTCGGTCACCCCCGGCGGCCTCGAGCGCCCCGTGTCCACGTGGGCTACAGCACCCCCCCCCCCACCCCCGGTGGAAAGAGGAGGCCGGCCCGGGCCGCGGGAGCAGAGGCAGCGCAAGCGGCTGAGCGAGGCCAATGGCCGGCGCGGGCCCCCGCGGCCAGGCCTCCTTGTGGTCGGCCAGGTAGGTCACGGCGCCGCGGGGCGCAGAGCCCGGGCGCGGGTGGCTGGGCTCGGTGTGTCCCAGGCCACAGCGCCCCGCGCCGCCCAGCGAACGGGCCGCCTGCGTCACCGGCCCCTGGCGGCCATGGAGCGGCGCGCGGGGGGCGCCAGCGACCCCAGGGCCACCCGCGGAGGTAGCGGCGGGGAGCAGGGGGTGGGCGCGGATTCCCCCACGCCGGGCACCGCCGCTGCGCCTCTCGCCGTCCCCTCCCGCGGGGGGGAACAAAGAGCCCACAGCCTCGGTGTCACCGCGGGGGCAGAGACCCCGCACCCCGAGCAGGGCTGGGGCGCCCCCCGCCCCCGCAGCTGCGGCGGCCCCGTGCTGCGTCCCATGCCAGGGGTTCTACGAGTGTCCGGGAGGTTCCGGGGGATTTCTGCCCGGGTCCCGGCGAACCCCGGCCCTCCGGCTCTCGGGGGACGTGAGGGCGGCGGGGCTCCTGGGGCCATAGCTGCGCGGGCCAGTTACCTGCGCCATCAGGCGGACCCGGGCTGTCTGCAGGGGCGCCCGCTCTTGTGGCGTGGGGACCTGTGCGGGAACCGGGGTTGCTCTCGCTGTTGCGGGGACCAGGGTCTCTCCACGGTGGGCGAGACCGAATAGCGCGGGAGGGCTGGGGGCAGTGGGAGGCTCCGGAGCTGTTCCCAGCGTGTGCGGAGGTGTGCAGGGATGGATGGGGCGAGGCGCTCTCTCCAGGGACGTGGTTGGGGCTCTGGGGTTCGACGGGGACGCGGGTGACGGTCGGGGGTGGCGGGAGAGGAGCGGGGCCAGGGGCGACCTCCGGAACTCTCGGGGGAGGGGTGGGAGGTCTCCGGGTCGCTGAGGGGTACTTCCGGGTCTCCGGCTTCGGAGGGGGCCGCGAGAGCTGTTGCAGGCAGAGCGACGGCGCTGACCCCCAGTTTTCTTCTGCCTGCGCAGGCCACGGCCTCCGGCGGCACGGCCACCCCAACGCCCACCGCAGCGGCCGCCCCAGCGCCCGCCAGCTCCTGGCGCGTCTGGACGCGCGCCCCCTGGCGGCCCGAGCGGCGAACGACGTGGCGCTGCTGGTGCGCAGGGCAGGCACTACGCTGCGCCTGCGCCCCAAGGAGGGTGAGTGATGGGGCGGGGCCTCCTCGGGGGCGGTGGGGAGCCCTGTTCGGAGGTGGTGGAAGGGGGGCTGTGCCTTCCTCTCCTGGGCGGGGCTTGGAGCGAGATGACAGTGGGTGGGTCCCTGGAGTTTTCTGAAAGTATTCCTCTAGGAGGTGACACCAGCATGGTTATTGTTTGTTGGTGAATGTTAGAAGATTCATGGAGAGTACTTAATTTTGTTACTTTTGGAGATGTTCACACCTGGGGTTTCTCAGGGTCCAATCCAGGCTCCGTGCTGGCGGGTCGCTGCGGATTGATTTCGGGCTCCTGCAGGCGGAGCAGATGCTCCAGCCCATTGAGCTGTCCAGATGCCCGCTTTTTTTTTTCTTTTGCGGTGCCGGGGAATCCAACTTTCGGCTTCATACATTAAATGCAAGTGCTCTACCATTGAGCTACTTTCCCAGCATCAATAGCATTTAAAAAGTTTTTCCCCACTTTATTTAACCACTGTTGTTTACAGAGCAAATTTGTTACAGACATTCAATGTTCCCACACCAATCTCACCACCAATGGCATATCTTAAGAGGCAGGGCCTATGGTGTTTTTTCCTTTGGGCTCTTTTGTTCACACCCAGGGATGCTCAGGAATTCTTGGTATTGCTCAAGGGGCCATGTGGGATGCCAGCGATCGAACCTGGGTGGGTCACATGCAACACAAACATCCCACATGCTGTAATATCTCTCTGGCCAAAGTCTGGAATTGTTGAGGACAGGCACTGTGGTAACAGGCTGTCCTGGTATGCTCTTCAATGTTGTGTTATCTAGAAACAAATTGAGGGTAGGTGCAAATGGGATATATAACTGATTGGAAGGGAAGACTTGGAATGATGGATAGCTGAATGCTTCAGTGGCAGTTTCAAGTGTGGGTCTAGGGTGTTATTGAGGCAATGGGGTCTATGTGATATTAGACTGAGAAGAGGGTCTAGATGATCATTCAAATAGCAGGAACCCGGATTACTCTCTAAGATAGTAAATGGTTGAAAACAGTTACTCTCTAAGCAAAGTCAAGTCCAGTAGGTACCAAGTTCTCAGTGCCTTCTAGACTCAAGGGGGACAGTGAAGATAAAATATCAACTCAGGTTTGGCTCTTTAACTGTTTTCATGCAGAACCCCTCCTACCTCTTTCCTTCCATAGCTTTTCCTATGATGGATTCTGCAGAAATAGAGGTCACCGACAATCGTTTGCCTAAGACTCCTTTTGTGCAACCCCAGGCCCAGGTACCATCTTTTTTCTCCTAATTGAGGTTGCAGGGCCTGGAGACTGGCGATGTATATACACTTGTATCTTTACTCCATCAGCATCATCGGCCAGAGACCGTGGATCCTCTTATTGCTCCGCATCTAATGAAGCAGGGTAAGGTACACAGTGCTTCATCAAAGTTGCCCCAGACATCTGCTATGACATTGCCTCAAGCAAGTGCTTTGAGGATGTCTCAGGTGGCTGCTTCCAAGTTACTTCAGGCCTCTGATCAGTTCACTGTAGAGCTATTTCGCAGCTCTATGGGCTTTGGCTTCACATTAAGTGGGGGCAGTGATGCTTCAAGAAGTGCTGAACTGGCTATCCGTGGGCTGCTGAAGGGCGGACCGGCCCAGCGCTCTGGTCAGTTACAGGTGAGTCATTGTCTTCCACCTCTACAGAATATTGCTAGCCCTGTTCTTGTCTTACTATCTTTTGTTCTGGGTGCAATTTCTGTTCTTCCTTCCATAACTATGACCCTTGCATTTTTGATAGTTTTTGGAGGAGGGGGTATACCTGGCAATGCTCAGGGCTTACTCCTGCTTCTGCACTCAGAAATCACTTCTGGCAGAGCTTGGAGGACCACATGGGATGCCAGGGATTGAACTTGGGTCAGCCACATGCAAGGGAAGTGCCCTACCCACCGTACTATCTCTCCAGTCCCTAAGCCTTATATTTCTACAGGTAGGTGACCTTGTCCTTCACATCAATGGAGTGTCAACTCAGGGCCTCACCCTTGCCCAGGCTGTGGAGCGGATTCGTGCATGTGGCCCCCGGCTTTGCCTCATGATCCGAAGGCCTCGTGAGACCCAAGCTGGCAAGCCAGAGGCAGTGCCAATGCATCATAAAGCAGAAGGTGGATTTCCCAGGGGGGATGGAGCGAGGAGATGGAGGGAAAGGAGACCGTGTCAGAGTGCAAATGCTGGGGTCCTCAGTGGGAAGAGGTGTTTGGTTTTGTGGAGAGGGTAAGGGGATGGTGTCTGTGAGGGGTCTTTGTTGTCTCCAAAGCAGGGATGGAGGGGCAGGATCTCAGACTGGAATCTGACTGCGTCTTTAACAGGGGAGCTTTAATGGCACTTAAGGGGAGAGAAGAGCAAAGGCTGGAGTGATAGCACAGTGGTAGGGCATTTGCCTTGCACGCTATTGGCAAGGCTGACCCAGGTTCGATTCCTCCGCCCCTCTCAGTGAACCTAGCAAACTACCAAGAGTATCTTGCCCGCACGGCAAAGCCTGGCAAGCTACCTGTGAAGTATTCGATATGCCAAACACAGGAACAACAAGTCTCACAATGGAGACGTTACTGGGCATGCTTGAGCAAAATCGATGAACAATGGGAGGACAGTGCTACTATACAAGGGGAGAAGTGAGGTACAGAGTATTTAGAAAGTTAAGTGAGGGCGGAGAGTTAGTACAGAGATTAAGGTGCTTGCCTTGCACCCACAGGCCATTCCATCTCTTGTATAGTCACCTGAACCCTGCCAGGATTGATCCCTGAGCACAAAGCTCGGAGAAAGCACTAATCACCACTGAGTGTTACCCCCCTAAAAAATAAACAAGAAAAAACAAAGGGAGAGCCTTGGTCTTCAGGGAAAAGACTAAGGAGGCCCAAGGGTGTATAAGAGAGGGTGTAAGATAACATTGATTTGTCCTTTCTGCCTTGCCACAAGGAGTTAGGTTTATTGTGTTACTCCCACCACAGTGCTCCCATACCTCTGTGTATTTGTAACCTCATTCTTTGTGCTCTGCTTCCCCAACACGCAATCACCTTTATCTCCTAATCAGACTCTATTAACTTGTAAGTATTGCTTTTCTCTTCTCCTTAAGTCCTTCATATAGTTAATTCAGAGCAATGTTCTTTTTGTATATGAAGGAGGAAACTAGGGCCAGGCTGGTTGGTGACCAGTTGCCATTTGTTCCATTCTCTCCAGTCTCATTATGCCCCCAATTCCAGTCTCACACTGCCCCTCATTCCTGTCTCCTCCTGTCTCCCTTGCTCATCTCTCCACACTCCAACTCGCTGCCCTGGTCTCTCTCTAGTCTCTCTCCATCTCCCCAGCATTGGGGGTAGCAACCACACCTCAGTCTCAGTAGCACAATCAACATATCAAAGCCCTTTCTGATCTCAGATCAGGCTCAAGGGCAAAATGTCATTTACGGGTTTTTCTCCTTTCCTTAGTCCAATAACTTAACATCTTAATTAACATCTTAATTCTACTTCTTAATATTAGTTATTTTGTATGGACACAGTAAGAGATACATTAAGCTTGTAGGGTGTCTCTCCTAGGGACATCTCGTTATAATCTCAGACTACAGTGCTCAGGCCAGATTAATCTTTCCTAATCCTAGTAGGGTCCTAATCTAGATGTTACTTTTTGGATCATGACAGAATTTGTCCATGACCATGCTCTTCACTTATAGTTAAGTATAATGGTGCTTTGGCCTGGCCCATTTTGATACCAGGGTAGCTCACAATTTGACCTGGGTCCATCCAGTCACTGGTTGGGACCCTGCTTTGGGGGAATCTAGGAAGTAAGGGCAACTGAGGCAACTGAGAACAGATGCCCAGGAGTGAATATCATTCAGAGTCAATTAACTCCCAAATTACAAAAGCATAGCATTAACTGTCTTCCTGTGTCCATACAAAAAGGACATTGCTCTAAATTAATTATGTGAAGGACTTAAGGAGAAGAGAAAAGCAATATTTACAAGTTAATAGAGTCTGATTAGGAGATAAAGGTGATTGACGGGCTGGGGAAGCAGAGCACAAAGAAAGAGGTTACAGGGGCTAGAGTGATAGCACAGCGGGTAGGGCATTTGCCTTGCACGCGGCCGACCCGGGTTCGATTCGCAGCATCCCATATGGTCCCCAAGCACTGCCAGGAATGATTCCTGAGCGAAGAGCCAGGAGTAACCCCTGTGCATATCCAGGTGTGACCCAAAAAGCAAAAAAAAGAGGTTACAAATACACAGAGGTATGGGAGCACTGTGATGGGAGTAACACAATAAACCTAAACTCCTTGTGGCAAGTCAGAAAGGACAAATCAATGTTATACTAGAGGGGGTATAACTGGAGAGGGAATGGATAGGGATGCAGAAGGTAGGGTCTATTTCTGAAAGAGAGGGTTCCTTAAGAAAGCCCTGGGAGGTGAGGGCAGTGGGTTGAAAAGAGGGAGCGTAAATGGGGTCTGGAGAAGTAGTGTAGAAGGCAGGGCATTTGCTTTGCACGTAGCTCACCTGGGCTCAATCCCGGCATCCCATATGGTCCCCAAGCACCATCAGGAGTGATTCCTGAGTGCAGAGCCAGGAGTAACCCCTGAAACATCCCCAGGTGTGGCCACAAAACAAAAAGAAAAAGGAGGGAGCATCCTAGATAGTAGGAGGTTCGGGGCTTGCAATGAAGGCCAGGGTTCAATTCCATGGTAGATTGAGAAATGGCTTTGAGAGATTGTGTCATGGAAGGGGCAGGGCTTTCCGGAAAGGCATAGTAGGGAGTCCTTAAAGGGTAATGTGGGTCCCTGATAGGAGTCTTCGCAAAGGAGAGAACACGCCTGTGGTTCTTGGGGTTTTGGAGGCCAAATCCCCTTGCCTCCTCTTGCCCACTCTACAACCAGTCTAATCAGCAGTCTTGCTTTCCCCAGGTCACAGCCCTGAAGCAGGGGTACCGGAGGTCTTGAGGTCTCGCAGCGCCCGCGCCTCTGCATTTCAACACCCCGGAGTCCACCGGATGCCCCAACATGGGGGCAGCCAGGAGCGTAGCCCAGAGTGGGCCGCCCATGGTCCCAAGGTTCTTCTTGCGGAGCGCAGCACAAAGGAACCCAACGACGACCGAACCCCCAGTTCTCCAGGACCCTGGCTAGTGCCGAGCGAGGAACGGCTCTCCAGGACCCTAGGGGTCTCAGGCGCAGCACAGCTGGCACTGGAGAGGGCAGCCGGAAGACGGAGGCACTGAGTGTCCACCGATGGCGGGGCCCCGCCCAGTTCTGCCCAATGTGGAATAGATTCCTAGCTCCCCCAACCCAACGCTGTGTAGCCTAGCAGTGGGGGAGGGGGGCTCGTGGCCCCGGTGATAGGGCCTCCCAGACCCGCCAGCCCTGCACTTCTTGTTTCAGGCCGGGGAGGTAATAAAAGTTTGATCACGTCCAGACTTGCCAAGTGCTCTAGTCCGGGTGGGGCCCCAGAGTCTACTTCATACTGGATGGGGTGGGTCGATTCGGTTTCGGGGAGGATCTCTTTTTTTGCCACCTGCTTAACTCCGTGGCGTTTTTTCCCCACGCCCCCAGAGAGCGAGTGCTTTCTCAGGGGACCTCTGTTTATCTCTGCGCCCATGCCTGCTGCTTTCCCCCATTCATTCGAGTCACTTTTGGGAGTGGGGGACGGGCTGGGCTCACAGATCGCTACTAGGCGGGTTTCGGGGCAGGGATGAGTGGTGATAGCGTGGGGGGGGGGGCGGGGGGGTGAATCAGTTATGCCCGCGGTCCTGGCTCCGGAACCGTACAGACCCTCGTCTGACAACCGCATCGCCAGGCTAGAAAAAAGCAAAGCGGAGGCTTTCTTCCGCCGATGCCTGCGGTCTCTCGCTTCCGGCTTGCTGGGCTAGCTTTCGCTGGTGTGTACTCTGCCACCCATAGGGCACGGGCTGAGGCCCTGGACCGTTCTCCCCCTCCCCACCCCGGGGCGGAGCCGGGGAGGTGTGAGTCAGCGGGCCGGCTATGGAAGGGCTGTTAGAACTTTGGGGCCACACCCCCTTTTCCCTAGATGGAAAGGAACAGCGACTGGGCTTGTGTGCACACGCCATGAGCTGGGCGTGCCGGGTCCTAGGAGGGACCTGAGCTTCCTCCATCAAGCGAGCAGAGAGAGCCCCTGATCTGGGCCTCACGTGGCTGGCGGGACTTGCACCCTGGGTAGCCCCAAAGCAGGTGCTGACCGAGGTCAGAAATGTCCAGTCAGGGCCGGAGCAATAGCACAGTGGATAGAGTGCTTGCCTTGCACGGGGACGACTTGGGTTCGATCCCGGGCATTCCATATGGTTCCCCGAGCACCTCCAGGACTAGGTCCTGGTGCAGAGTCAATAGTAACCGCCAGCATCGCCTAGTGTGGTCCCCAAACCAAAAGAAAACAGAAATGTCCAGTCACCTTCACTTGTCACCACATCCGGAACCCTTTGGCCCCAGCCCCCCTCCCTCCTCCAAATGAAGGAAGCTGCAGTCAAGAACCGGCAGCTGGGTTGAAAAGGGCAACCCTCAGCCCTTAAGGAGAGTTATCGCTTTGGGGAGGGGTCTCGTGGAGGCGGAGTTAAGTGAAAAGGTACAGAGACAGGACAGTACTCAGCCCAGCCCTATTGTGAATTGGGCTATAAAGAGGTGAAGAGATAAATGGGCACAGCTACCCTGACTCAGAGTCTGGGGCGGGTGGGGCGCTATGGAAGTCAAAAAAGGGCACCAGAGCCCCGTCCTATAAACACAGTCACACCCAGGAGGCTAATAATAGAAACCCAGCCACCATTTACTTAGACCTATCCCTGACACTAGATTTGCTTGAACTCTCTTTCCATCTGGTTACACATCTATTTAATCTTCATCTGTCCGTTTCACAATGAATGGAGCGAAGTGCAGACCCAAAGAGTATGAATCGCTTGGAGTGGCAAGATTTCCTCAGTGGCAAGATTTCCTCCCCTACCCTCTTTAGCGTCCTTGCAGCTGACATGCACTGATTGAGGCCCAACTGTTTATCTTGCACTGTGATAGGTACTGGGCAGATACCAGAACAAAACAAAGATTTCAGTTCTTATGTGACTGATGTTGTAGGGGGCAGAAGGAAACCAGAAAACACAGGCCAATGAACACAAATTTGAAAGAGAAGTGAGTGAATATAGCCAAAGGAGGTTGCATTGGGGGAAATAATAACCTGCTGGTCTTTTTGGAGACCTAACATTCAAGCTTGGGCCTGACTGGCCAAAAGCCAGATGTCTAATGAGCTGGGGAAAAGGCACTAACCGAAGCGGGAACAGCCAAGTGCAAAGGCCCTGGTATGGGGCAGCTTTTTTTGCCGGAGAAACACAGATATCTCCTCAAAGAGTTGGAAAGCATACAGCACTGTAGGAATACGTATGCACGTATCATCTTTTACTTTCCAATCCTTCAACAACCTGAAGTTAAAGGAGGAGGAGGGATGGCTGTTTTCAAGGGGGCCTGGTCGCCAGGGAGATAGTTCCAGGGGCTAGATCACATGTTTTGCATGCTGGAGGCCAGCACTGCATCTCCCTTGAGCACTGAGCCAGGAGTAAACCCCAAGTACCACCAAGCAGGATCTCAAAATAAAAATAAATCAGGACCAGAAAAATAGTACAGAGGCTATGGTGCTTGCCTAGCTCGTGGCCAATCATGATCCCTGGAACCCCATAGGGTCTTTAGAGCCCCACCAGGAGTAATCTCTGAACACATAGGCAGGAGAAAGACCTGAACAATGCTAGGTGTGGACCCCCAAAACCAAAATTAAAATAAAAGTAATAAAATCAAGGGAGGCCCTGATGTCTATTCTGGCAACACTCCCAGTGTGTTCCTCAGTACATTTTGTGGGAGTGCATGACTCCTGTGTCCAGATGGCCCTCTTAACTGCAGAAACTGAGGCTGAGTCAGGAGAAATCACTTGTCTGGGGTAACACTTGAAATGGAAGCTTGGATCCCCCATCCAGTCTGGCACTCCTGGAACCTTTTTCTCATCTCTAAATGCCATCAAGAAATAGACATGGGCTTCTTCATTGTTTCTCACTTGGGGCTGCTGTGCTCACCAGTTCCTCTGCTTAGAACCAGGGAACCAGTCCCAGCACTGCAGCCCAAGACTCCCTGAGGATTGCATAACAGAGGAGACTCCTGACTTGGGCCCTGTTAATAACCCCCACCCACTTACTGACTGCCTGATGTGCACCAGGCCCTATTCTTTCTCTCCCTTTGAGCCAGCACTGTCTCATTCCTCCCACTACTGCTACATTTCTTCCACAAGTCATCCTTTAAGTGCAACTCGTTAGTCAAAAAAAACTCTGGATACCACAGTTTTCCTCCCCAGTGAGTGAGCCCCGTGTGGTTACAAAAGCTTACCTGGTCCATTGAGGAACACTTTTAATTTCTTGCTTATCCACAACTTTTCCAGAGGAAAGATGAATTTTAAAAGTAAAACACACACACACACACACACAACAGTGGGTAGGGGACAAAAAGCCATCTCACACCCTGCAGGATGAAAGTGTTAAGTCAGAAACCATCTCTGCGCGTGGGAAAATGTCTCAAATCCAAAATTTCCAAATTAATTTTGGCAACGTTATCTGGCTTTAGCCATAACCTTGGTTGTTTCTTTTGTTTGTTGCTTTGTTCTTTCTTTTCTTTTGACAGCTAAAGAAACGGTGCCACTCTTTCCCAGTCTCACCCTGTGCTTTTGAGTTGAAGCAGAGTCCTGGCCGTATTTGTATTCTGAAAAAGCGAGGACTCTCCCCATGATCGCTCATGGTATCCCAAACTACCAAGAAGTCCCAAAAACCTGTGCACCCAGAGATGGGGTACCGGGGCTGTGTGTAAGGGGGGAAAGGAGGCAGGGTGCAGGGCTTCGGGGCATCTGTATTCTGAAAAAGTAAGGGTTTCCCTCATGATCGCGCAAGGTACCCAAAACTACCAAGAAGTCCCAAAGACTGGTGCCGATACCGCGGTTGTGTGTGAGAGTGGGGGGTACGGGGTACGGTGCGTGGGGCTAAGAGACTCCTTAGCGGGCGGGGCCAGGGGGCTTCCGGGGCGGCAGCCACCTGGCCCGGCCCCCTCCGGCCCCGCCCGCTTCTGCTCGGCGCGGTGATTCACTCCCTCCTTTGCCCCGGGGCCCCCTTCCCGGCCAGACGGCGGGCAGCTCGGCTGGCTGTGCAGCGTCCTCGAACCCACTAGCAGGCCAGCAGCTCCTCCACACCCCTAGGGACTCCCGCGCACGCCATGGCGGATTCTGAGCGCTTCTCAGCCCCCGGCTGCTGGGCTGCCTGCACCAGCTTTTGGCGCACCCGAAAGGGAATTCTCCTCTTTGCTGAGATTGTGAGCTTTCCGGGTCTGGCGGGTGGGCAAAGGCCAGGGGAAAAAGGGGGCGGGGGCGGCTGAACCTGGCAGTGCTCGGCCGCCCCGGGTGAGCTAGGCTCGTGGCTCGGGAGGGCGCTCGGCAGTGGAGTGGGGGTGAGTGGGTTAGGGGTGGAGGCACAGAGGCGCACGGAGAATCAGTGGAGTTTGGAGAATGTGGTTGGGAGCTGCTAGCCCACGAGGTGAGCGAAAAGGGCCCATACGCACAAAGACTCTCGAGGGGGCCGCGTGGAGGAACACGTCGTGTACTCATCGGTGGATTTTTGAAGGGGTACCAAGGACCAGGGAGGTGTTGGGGGGCCCCCGGAGGCAGGGTGTGGCATGGTCTGGGCACTGGCGGGCGGGCTGGCCCTGCGCCCAGGGGCGGGGCCTGGTGGGGTGGGGCCCCCCCAACCCGGCGGTGGGGTGTCCCGCCCTGCGCCAGCTCTCCTGTTGGTGGGCGGGGGAGGTCCTTCGCCCTCCCAGCCGCGCTTTTCCGCCCTTGTTCCAGGGAACGCTGCCTTTGAGTCACTTGTAAAGAGGTTCAGCGCCTTTAACGGAGCCCTGCCCCTCCCGTGTCACTCTGCGCTTCCCAAAGAGGTTGCCGGGGGAACCGCACGTCCTGCCCAGTCCAAGCCCGAACTGCTCAAGAAACACCTGGCCGCGCCACTCCCCGCGGGCCACCCCTCTCCTAAAAGGGAAAAGGGGGAAACGGAGATACTCAAGGCTGCACTTTACTAGCTAGTATTACTGTGGATCGGTCACTTCACCTCTATGTGCATTTTTCTCATCTATAAAAGAAAGTAATATTACCCCGCCTACTAAGTTGTTATAATGATTAAGTAATTACTTACACAATTGTTTCTTTTGCTTTTTTGATTTGCAATTTTTGTGTGTATGGGCCACATCCAGCTGGTGCTGAGGGGTCGTGGGGATCCTGATGGTTTTGGGGGGACCATGTGGTATCAGGGATCTAATCCTGATCTCCCTTATGCACTGCAACCCTCTGAGCCATCTCCCCAACCCCCCAAATATTTTTTGGTTTGGGGGCCACACCCA